GCTGAAATCTGAGAGGTGCGTTCTCATGGCTGCCACCACATTGGTTATGGCTCTCAGAAAACACCTGAAAGATTTATTATCAAACATTTAGCACCAACAGCACATGCTATTTTGTAACACTTTGTTTTTGAAAGATTACAAACCTCCTAAAATAGAATGAATATTCACAATGAAAATGCAAACCATCTTTTCAATGTCATAAATTAAACAACATTCTATGGGGATAAAAGACTTTTTCTTTCATTTGGTGAACTGTGAGCTTAAACCAACACATAGAGAGAATATATGGTTGAGTCAATTACAAAAGATAAAGTATTCTAAATACCCATAACTCATTTTCTGAAATATGATTACATTTTTTTCTCATTATTTTACACAATTTGGGAACTTCTACATACATGTACTTAGATGTTAAAATGGGAGATTATCCTCTTAAATAATATCTAATAGGATTGGTTTTCTAATTTTTATCAAAGCTATCCTCATAGATAATATTGGCTGTCAATATTTGTAACACAAAACAAAGCCAAGGAGACCAGGGTTTGTCATATGCTAAGTTTTAGTAGAAAATTGGCCCCGTAGTTGCACTAACTCAGATTAAGCAGTTCTTAATGTCAAACAGTTCATTCCTACCAAAAAAAAAAAATGGTTCCTCCATAGTAACTGGGTTCAGCCTTTGGACTTTATGACATGTTGGTACAAGTAACAGAAGCTGTTAGAAATAAATAATAAACTGAAATATTTAATGTGAAAAAACCATAAAATGTTTATTCTTAAAAATTGAGATTGATACCACTGTAATGGAGAAGATGCCATCTTTATTTATAGGTGAATAAAAATATTAAACTCAACTATTAATAGATATGATACATTTGTCATAAATCCTATAGATTTGAGGCCAACCCTAAGTGGAAGACTAGGTAGGTCGAACAGTGAATTACAAAATAAGAATGTCAAATAATGTGCAACTTACACATGAATCAATATGCCTTTTTGCTTCTAAACATGAAAACAAAGTAAGTCCACTGTAGTGGGGGGAAAAAAACCAGCACCACGGACAAGCCGTGCTAACTTCTGAATGAACAGTTCAGTTATAATCACCAGACTCACAACAGTTTTATCTTTCTTAAATCATTTAAACAACAGTCCCATAACTCTAATACTGCTTTTCTATTGTATTTATGATAGAAACTATAGAAGACAATTTAGAGGCTAAGTTTAAATACACACACACACACACACATCCTCACATTCTGTTGAAATACTTTTCTCAACTTTTTTGTTAGAGTGTGATGTGTGTGTATGTGTGTGTGTGTGTGTGTTTGTTTCCCTTTTTCATTGTAATGCTTTTGCAATAGTTCTCTCCTTATCTGTTTGGCTCTGTCCTAAGAGCTTCAGAATTAAATATACATGAGTTTCTTCCTGTAAATGTCCAAGTATAAAAACTGATTATCACTCAGTCCTTTGGGAAAAGTCTATCATTCTTAATTTACTCCTCAAACACCATATAGTCTAAATGGAACTTCTAATTTGGTATTTTCTAATAGCTGACAAAGCTCACAGTAGCATCTGAACAAAACTGTTCTCTTAGAGGAATGCAAACCACAGTGAAAGAGGAATGAATGAAAAACTGACCTGTAAAATTTTTGTCTATTCAGAAAACTTTTCACTGTTTACCAGCCCTTGAGAGAAAGTTATTTCATAACCATTTCATACATGCCTTCAGATTACACAGAGACTTCTCAAAAATGGTCATTCAAGGCTCTAAAAAAAATCTTTATAGGCTTATCAGAATGTTCTTGATAATCAAAGGGGCATAGCTTACATTTCCTAAGGATTCAGCTATGGTAGATGGAGGATACTGTCTGGAAAAAAAAAAAAAAAAAGGGCCACAGTCACTCCATCCCAGGCTGTGTTTTAAGAATATAATAATGTGGTTTCATATAACCGCAAAAGAAGTCTTAGACTTGTTACAATAAGAAATTTTTTAACTAAATGAATACACTGGCTAAAATCCAGTTTGCAGATCTTGTGTCATGCATAGGGTATGTGTTTGGGGTAGGAGGAATGCATGAGGATTAAACAATCTTTCTCTTTTAAGAGGCCTAGCCTGTGAGGGACAAACAGTAACATGTAACTTACTCATTTGTATAATTAAATACTAGTTTCTGCTGAGAGGCAATGTTATGCTACAAAGTATTTTAATATCAGTAACAACATACACTATGAAGTGCACTTCTATTACAAATTAACATGGTGATATACAGATGAACAAAACCACCCAAAACAAACCATAAATGAACAACAGTTAAAACATTAAATTTATAAATAGCAAAATCACAAAATAAAGTATATACATTTTATAGATTTAACTTTGAACAAATATATAGTGCACCTGGGAAAGAAAAGAAAATGTATTTTATCACATAACATCTGATACTAGAAATGAAGATACTGATAATATACTAAAAGCCTCGTGGGCTTTCTCCCTCTTAATGTATATTCTTAAATGTATATTCTTTAAAACAGTGATATTAGCAAAACTATCACCTCCTTAAATACAATGTTTTGACTGTGCCAAGCAGGGTTCGATGACCTGCAGAATGGTAAGAGTGGAGGCACTCTATGCTCAATCCTGGGACACGAGAACTAGCAAACTCATAGTTGGCATAGGAAAGGCTTTAGTCACACATACACCGACATGAAAACACAACCCAAACCACTACCGTCTCCCTTCATCTTGCCTGTCTCTGACCCCAGCTTTATAGATGATTGGCAAATCAGTTACTTAGAAAAATGCTATTTGAATGCAACGTATTTCATGACACAGTAATACATTCGTGCTTTTACTGACATAAAAATGGATCTTAAGGTGCCAGGACTATCACAATAAGACAAACTTTATGAACAACTCAAAATGTATAGAACTGTCTTTTGTGGATCCCAGAAAAGCAGCACTTGGGATTGAACATTAACAGTGTAATGCTCCAACACCATGCACACAGGTCAACATAATTGAGAACAGATATTTTAAACTCATCTGCATTTCATTTAAAAACTGAAAAAGTAAAATGTACATAACTTTCCAGAAACTTTTTCTAGTGCAGCATTGATTAAGGATTGCTTAAAGAAAAATATACTGCATGGAATAAAGATGAAAGGTAAACTCATTACAGTAAATGATCATTATGAACTGATTTATATATCAGGATATACAATAAATTAAAAAAAAAAAACTAAAACCATTCTTTCAGTTAAAAAAAAAAATTAAGTCAAACCTACATTTTGCAATTCATTGAGTCAAGTTTTACCTTTTGAAACACCAAAAGTAACATACTGGAATATACTATGAGCTAATTTACTCTTGTATTGACTGGCTATTTCGTTCAAAGTTCCAGTTAGCAATATCCTTCTACTAAATAGAAAAGGAACCTAATAAAACAGTGGTGCTTTGTTTGGTACTTGAAAGTAATACCTTGTAATATCCCTTTGGGAAACACATGCTTTGGTACTTATGATTTCAAGAAAATAAAAACTGCTTTACATGCTAATTATGGTATGCCACAGAAAATGGGGTTTTATGCATTTAGAATTGTTCACATGAAGCCCTGAGGTACACGCCTTTCATTCAGGCAACAAACAGCCCTCCCTTGATCTTGTACAGTTTTTGTCACCATCGTCCCTAGTGCCCCCAATTCAGAACAGTCTCATTAACAATCCTGTCTGGAGATACAGTCAGATTAGAAAGACTTTTTGTGATATAGACTGTGCAGGTCATCTAATTTTGAAGCACTGTCATCTAGTGGAGTCTCACTTGAAGTTGCCAGGTCTCCATTTTCATGTGTATCAGTTACTGCCTTCTTATTATATCCTGAAAGAAAGGAAAAGAAAAAGAAAGTGGATACTCTTTCGTCTAAAAAAGTACACAGTTTTTAAAATTTTATTAAGTAAAAATAAAGAAATCTTATTTATAATTAAAAGTTGTTAATATGAGGGGAAATAACAGGGCCTTAATGAAGTTAGCAATTCCTTCCAAGAGATTCTTCCTTCTTACAGATGATATCAAACTTTGTACAGATTTAAAATTTTTATCTATTGAACCTATCTAAAAATTATATAAAACTTTCTATGAAGTTTTTTTTTTAAACTTAATGATTGATACATACAGTTGTAAAATTCAATCAGTTCTACTTATACAAGTATCTACTGTATTATGAATTGCATATATTTTTATTTTACTTTTTTGCTTTCATATTAACTTTAACTTTAGTTCAATGAGGCAAATACTAGTTGATGGCTAACAGTCTGGCAGGGTCTTGACAAGACAATTTCTAGCCAATTTAAAACCAATTTTGGTTAATCTACAGAATGGAAAATAGACTTGAAAACAAAAAAAGAATTGAGAAAGTTGACTATATAGTAGGCAATGAAGTGTAAACCTACTGTGCTGGACAACTACTAGTAGACACATTTTTTGTGATTTGAGTTAGTTACTGGGGACATATCATGTAAGATACTTATTTTTATTATTTGAGTCATATTTTAAGTATGTGCAATTTGTATGACAGAAGTCTTCCATCCTCAGTTGAAAAAAAAAAAAAAGAAAGAAAGAAAGAAAGAAAGAAAGAAAGAAAGAAAGAAAGAAAGAAAGAAAGAAAGAAAGAAAGAAAGAAAGAAAGAAAGAAAGAAAGAAAGAAAGAAAGAAAGAAAGAAAGAAAGAAAGAAAGAAAGAAAGAAAGAAAGAGAAAGAAAAGAGAAAAATGAAAAAGAAAACCAAAGGGAAGGGACAAGCTTTCTAGTCCAGACAAAAGACCAAAAAGAAAAGTATAAGAAGCAAAAGTCAATGAAACCACAAGCAGAGCAGCCCAACAGCGTAGGGTCTTACATACTGCCACTGCAGTTTTACTCAAGATGCATGGGGAGAATACCTACTACTGCTGTCTTTATGTAGACAATTCAGGACACACAAGTTCACCAATAGGACAACAGCTCACTGGTTCACAACAAAATTCTATGCCGGGAGTTTTTCACCTTATTGGTCCAAGGATGCTCTTACACTCTCAATAATAATTACTAATACATACTAGATGAGTAATTAAAACTGAGAAATCCAAAACAAATTTTTTTGAAAAATCACAGTACAGCCAGTAAAAATTACCATGAATAACATATTTAATGATGAATAAATATTCTATCTTCCAAACAAAAATAGAAGAGCATTATTTTACAATTTTATAAATCTAGTATCTGGTTTTATAGAAAGTAGTTGGATTCTCATTTTTGCTTCTGCTAAATCAATTAGAAGTATATGAAGAGTTCAGCTTCACACAGATATGTAGTTGAGAAGGGGAAGAATATTTTAACAGCTTTTTCAGATAACTGTCAATAATCTTCTTTGATATTATACCAAAGCCTGATAACCTGGGATCTGAAACCTTATCAAGAACTTTTCACACTGTTACATTAAAATCCATTCGCCTATACTGCATTCTGATGGATCTTTTACCCTATTACAATTTTGAAACATCATGCACTAGTCATTTGAAAAATATTGCATCACTGAGTTATGTAGTAATTCTGAAAGTTGACACATTTCACTTTAATAAATGATATCATTCATTAATATCACCATTAATCTCATTAGTAAAAGTCTTAAGTGTCAGGAAGCTGTCGAGCTCATGGTAATTGATGTATGTTTTACAAAATTCCAATCTTCATTTGAGGGCTCATTTTAAAATTTTTTAAAGAGAGATTTTTGCTATGCAATGCATGTGCTCACCAGAAAGACAGAGAGACAGAAAGCGAGAAATCACCCTCCAAGGGGGATGGCCACACAATCCCTTCTCCTCTATTCTTCTCTCGAGATCTTGGGCACGCACGCACATGCGCCTGGTGTGAGTTTTAAGCTGCCAGGTCTGGGACTCAAACCATGGTCGACCATGTGGGAGTCCAGCGACGTAATCATTATGCCATCTGCTGGTCCCTGAGAGCCTACATCTTATTACTGGCAGTAAATACTGTCAGTTGTTCTCCTTGAAGTCATTTTAAACTTTGCTTATCAAAAAAAAATGGCTGCCAAATAGTCCAAATAATCGTAATTTGTCAGTCATCTTGCAAGTAAAAATTGTCTTCCATGAAAAAAAATGCCTAGTTCAGCTAGTAACTGAATCACTTAAAGTACTTTTCCTTGAGATCAGCATCTTTATTTACCACAGAGAGTTAAGTGCTTTATGAATACTTCCCAACTTATCACACTGAAATTGAAAAGACACATACTCACGTATCAATATTTAATAAAATTAATACCTTTTGGTGTTTTATCAAGGATATTTTTAAGTGAAAAGGCACTTTCTTCTTTGTTACTATGGGTGGATGGCAAACAAAATGATTATTAATGTAGTTGGTGCTACTGGTTTGATTTTTGCAAAGGTACCAGCAGTTTTAGCCCAATTATTTTTGTTCCATTAGTACAAATATCAACATAGTATATTAAAAAAAAAGTTATAATATTATTATAAAAATCTTTGGCCTTATGGACCCTTCCTGAAAGGTCACAGAAACTGCCAGAGATCCATGAATCAACAATTAAGAACCACTGCTCTGGGACCAGCAGTTAGCGTAATGGCTGTATCACTGAACTCCCATGTAGTCGACTGCAGTTCGAGTCCCAGACTTGGTGGCTTAAACTCATGCTGGGCGTGTGTGCATGCATGTCCAAGATCCTGAGAGGAGAATGGAGGAGAAGGGATTGCAGTGTGGCCAACCCCCTGAAGAATGATTTCTCGCTTTCTGTCTCTCTGTCTCTGTCTGTCTTTCTGGCAAGCACACACACCCTATAGCAAAAACTTCTCAAAAAAAAAAAAAAAAAAAAAAAAAAAAAAAAGACCACCTCTCTATCTAAAATTCAGTTCTAGAATCTAGAATTTTTTCCTTACCATGTATGTAAATGATAGCAAAGGAACTAAATCAGATCCTCAAAATCACATATTCTGATTCTAATCATAAGAGCAAGATAATCACTTACTCATTCTTAGCCTATAATTCACTGTATTATGAGATAAAGGTTTGCATTAAGACAGAGAGATCATATTAAGATATATTTACAATACATGTTGGCCTTTTATTCAGAGTCTAGAACACTTGAATTGTATTTATTTTTAAAGGATCATTTTTAATTCAGTAACTGGCAATGTACTTGTCTTAATAGTCCAAGATGAATCTAAAACATATCCATAGATAAAATTTTGGCATAGTTACCAGTACACAATAAAACTATAAGCAAGTAAGAGTGAGTCATCCCGTTGGTTTCTCTATCATTAAAACAGCTACTGAAGAACATCTGAGCTTATGTTTTAAACATTTACAAATAATGAGCATGATTCTATAATTTTTATAATTGTTAGAGTGGTTTTTACCTTGTAACACTTTGATTTCCCCACTTGCATCTTTGCAACTAGCACCAGGGTTGCCACCTCCATCTAACTCATCAAGGTATAAACGGTAACGATGTCCACTCTCATCTTCATATTCTACATTTTCATCATCAGAATCTACTTCAGGAGCCACATAAACTACTTCAAATTCAATTTCTCCTCTCTAAAATATAAAATGGAAATAAAGAAGTTGAGTTATTGCAATTATAACACAAAAAAACACCCCCCCAAAAAAAAAACAACAAAAAAAAAAAAAAAAAAAAAAAAAAAACAAGGAACCACTGCTCTATCTAAAATTCAGTTCTAGAATCTAGAATTTTTTCCTTACCATGTATGTAAATGATAGCAAAGGAACTAAATCAGATCCTCAAAATCACATATTCTGATTCTAATCATAAGAGCAAGATAATCACTTACTCATTCTTAGCCTATAATTCACTGTATTATGAGATAAAGGTTTGCATTAAGACAGAGAGATCATATTAAGATATATTTACAATACATGTTGGCCTTTTATTCAGAGTCTAGAACACTTGAATTGTATTTATTTTTAAAGGATCATTTTTAATTCAGTAACTGGCAATGTACTTGTCTTAATAGTCCAAGATGAATCTAAAACATATCCATAGATAAAATTTTGGCATAGTTACCAGTACACAATAAAACTATAAGCAAGTAAGAGTGAGTCATCCCGTTGGTTTCTCTATCATTAAAACAGCTACTGAAGAACATCTGAGCTTATGTTTTAAACATTTACAAATAATGAGCATGATTCTATAATTTTTATAATTGTTAGAGTGGTTTTTACCTTGTAACACTTTGATTTCCCCACTTGCATCTTTGCAACTAGCACCAGGGTTGCCACCTCCATCTAACTCATCAAGGTATAAACGGTAACGATGTCCACTCTCATCTTCATATTCTACATTTTCATCATCAGAATCTACTTCAGGAGCCACATAAACTACTTCAAATTCAATTTCTCCTCTCTAAAATATAAAATGGAAATAAAGAAGTTGAGTTATTGCAATTATAACACAAAAGGATATCCAATTTTTTGGAGAAAGGCTTAGGTGTGGAGACTTCAGGTATAGCTCCTTTCCAGAGAAAACAAATAATGAAATCCTAGACTCTCAAGAGGTAGGGAGAGGAGGTCTGGAAAGGTCATGATGTCTAGACAAACCCTGTGAATCTTCTCTCCAAGAAATTTCCTTTTAATTTATAGTAGCCTTTTCTACCAACCACAATATTTTTGCTAATAGTTCTAAATTCTTAAAAAGGATACTTAACTTAAAAATTTACAGAATTTTGGAACAAGTGTTTACTTTGAAAGTCATTTTGGGCCTGGCTCTATAGCACAGCAGTTAAGCACTATGTATGAGGAACCAGATTGAAATGGATCTTGGCCCTGGCAGCTGGAAAACAAACAGGGCTGGGCCAGATGGTTACTGTGGCGGTAAAGTGGCTGAATCCTACACGGCGATAATGTAGTTCAAGTTTCAGACCTGGCCTGAAAAACACGGCAGGCAGTGTACCCAAAATCCCAAGAGGAGAGTGAGGAGAAGGGACTGTGGCAGGCCATTCTCCTGGGGGTGCTTTCTCATTCCCTGCAGTTCTCTCAGGCAACTGTACATACTGTCTGGCAGTAAAAAAAATAATGATATTAATAAAAATTCATTTTGCACTTTGCAAAGCAATTCAGCAAATGCACCTAAATAACACATTATTAAATACATTTGCATATAAGGGGATCACACACATTTTTCCTTAACGAAACCAAGAAACCCCTACACATGATTTCTTGTTTCTTACTGAACAGTCTTGAACTTTTTTTTTCTTTTTTTGGAGAGCTTTTTGCTATAGGGCGTGTGCACTCGCTAGACAGAGACAAAGAGACAGAAAGCAAGAAATCAACCCCCAGGGGGGATGGCCACATGGCAATCCCTTCTCCTCCATTCGCCTCTCAGGATCTTGGGCACACACGCACACACGCCTGGCATGAGTTTTAAGCCACTGGGTCCAGGATGCGAACCGCAGTTGACTACATGGGAGTCCAGCAACATAGCCATTACGCTAACTGCTGGTTCCGAGTCTTGAACTTTTTTTAAACTTCCACTGAGTATCAAATACAGTGTTAACATATTGTAAACTGCTAATAGAAATCACTAACATTTATTGTGCAAAATTATAGCCTTCGATCCTCATAATAGCCCTATAAGTAGTCTCTTACACGAGTAAGAAACCTAAGTGAGTCTCAGAGAGAGGTAATAACTTTCCCAATAAAATAAATAAATATACAGGGAAATAGCATGTTGATTTCAAAGTCCTTGCTCTTTCGACTATGTCAGTCTAAATGTGTAATATTTGGACTGTCATTCTTTAATAACATTTTATATCCAACTAAAAAGTTGTAGATCATTTCACGTTAAAAAATTCCAAGCTATAACTGTCCTTAATAAAGACTACACTCATTACACATAAGTCTGGTGTTTGCAACTCTCTGAAAATTATGCCCTGCCTTTGTTCAAAAGAACACATGCCATTTTTTACTGTTATCCACTAAGTTAGTCTCTGTGAAGCTCTTCTTTCTCAGCAGTTTCAGGTTGTGCCTCAGAATTTCAACGTGCTTAGTGTTTCCTTGAAATGATGACTGCCTGTTTGTAGCTCCTTCACCATAGCTGCCATTCATCCCACTCTTCTGCTATTAGATGTCAGCCAAGTTAGCGGAGAAAACATCAACTTAGAGGCTAGTTAGATCTCCCTTTTCAGATAATACTTTAAAAATCCCATTTTGGGACACAGATGACTAACATACTGGTCTTCAGTAAAGTTCTAGACCACAGAATTAAATCTGTGGGTAGCTGTAAGAGAGACACAGATTTCAGGCTTACTATAAGGAGGAGCTTTCTAAAAATCACCACTGTACAACAATAAAATGGACTGCTTGGTCATCAACAACTCCTCCTTTTAATGCAATTACTTAGTAGTGATGTTGTACAGGAGATTTATGACCGCTGTGCATCACATAAAGTTGAACCAATAAACTATTGATTCACTTTCAACTCTGATTCAATTCTATACTGCCAACTCTATACTGAGGATCCAAGAAACACTGCAATGTGCTAACAATGCCTCTCTTTTTCCCTCAGTCCTATTCCCCGAGGAAAGAAAGAAAACAAAACGGGACCAGCAGGTGGTGTAATGGTTATGTCGCTGGGATCTCACATAGTCGACCCCTGTTCAAGCTCCAGACCCAGCGGCTTAAAACTCATACTGGGCACATATGTGTACATGCCCAAAATCCCAAGAGGAGAATGGAGGAAAAGGGATTGCAGAGTGCCATCCCCCCCAAGGGGGTGATTTTTCACTTTCTGTCTCTTTGCCTTTCTTTGTCTCTCTGGCAAGTGCACATATTTATAACAAAAATCTCTAAAAAAAAAAAAAAAAAGAAGAAAAAAGAAACAAAAAAAAGAAAGAAAGAAAGAAAGAAAGAAAGAAAGAAAGAAAACAAATATTTTAAGTACACTCAATAATAAATATGGCTACTGGATATGAATTACAATTCTGTTAACTTATTTGTTCTGCAACCTTGAGCAGATCCTTTAACTTCTAAGAACCTTAGTTTTCTCATTTAAGTGAGTTGGGCTAGATGATTTCTAAGGACCCTGTCAGTTCAGTTGGGTCATCAGAAAATTCATGATGTATTTTTCTGTTTTCCTATGCAAAAAATGTCATGACTTTTCTGATGAATTAGTAACATTCTATGAACAAAAATCAATCAATCTACTTCTACGCTGTCTTTTCTGTAATACCTTATACTTGTATAGTGTTTCACTCATTAATGATATTGCTTTATAAGTGCCAGATCTTGTTTTACTTTACATGGATCAACTACCTAATCCTTTCAGTTCTATTTCAATCCCTACAGCACAGAGGGGAACACTGCAGCACAGAGAACTTGAGTAACTTACTCAGTTATGTACTATAGAACAGAGTAAACAAAATGATCCTTTATCCGTAAGTCTGGCTGCATGTGATCTATAAAAGTCCCCAAATTAAAGGAAACAAATGTCTGTCTATAAGTACTTTACCACTTGAGAAACTTGGTAAGGAAGTATAAACTATTCAGTATTTCAAAAAGAACCAAATAACAGATTCAACTTTAATTACATAAAGGGAATTCACCTGTTGGGAAAGAATAGTTACAGCTTCTTTATGCTTTGTGTCCCTTAGGTTAACACCATTCACTGCCAAAATGGCATCCCCAACGTGAAGTCCTCCACATCTGTCGGCTGGCTGTCCTGGATGGATCTCAGAGATGAGGATTGGAACACCATGCTCTTTCCCACCCTAACAACAAAAAAGGGCAGTAAATTAGTTTACTCATTGTAAAGTTAGCCATGAACTACAAAGATAGGACCCTTTTCTTAAAAATGTGCTTTAATAAGCATTTTCAGCTGAGATATAATTCTACACTGGCTATCTCTAAAAATTCTGGGTAAAATTTCATTTGCTACTTAGGTACTGATAAATAAAATATTATGATTATCAAGAATACGTCTAGGTAAAATGAATAATAGCATGTGCTTTCCTAAAACATTCCAGAACAGAAAAATTTGGACTGCCTACATGGCACAGTGGTAATGTGCTGCTTAAGAATCACCAGATTCCTTATGGTGGTTGCGGTTTGAATCCCTGGTCTGGTCAGCCTGAAAAACACTTTGAGCACATACATGAGTGCCCACAATCCAATGGGTAAAGGACTGCAGGAGGGGATCAAAGCATGACCAGACCCTGTGGAGAGTACTCATCTCTCTTTCTCATTCTCATGAATACATACTCTTATCTTGACTAAAGGAAAAAAAATTTAAGAAAAAAAAAAGAATAAGAAAAATATCTAAAAACCACAGTGGCTAAAAACTCTTAAACATAAATAGAGATATTTATATACTACAATTCCATAACACTATATTTTTTATCAAATCTAAGTTGCTCTGAGAAAGCTTATTATTTTACGTATCGCAAAAAAAAAAAAAACTAGATTGTAAGATGAATCTCAAATTCAGAGATGTTAAAATATGAAGAAAAAAAAAAAGGCAATACAGAATTGAAGAAACAATATTTGGAGGACAGCAGTGGCGTAGCAGTCACATCACTGGACTTCCACATAGTCGACTACAGGTCAAGTTCCAGACCTGGCAGCTTAAAACTCACGCTGGGCATATGTGCATGCATGCCCACAATCCTGAGAGGAGAATGGAGGAGAAGGGATTGTGGAGTGACCACCCCTAGGGACTGATTTCTTGCTTTCTGTCTCTCTGGCAGGTGCACGTGTCCTATAGCAAAAATCTTTCTTAAAAATAAATACATACAGGGAACCAGCAGTTAGCGTAATGGCTATGTTGCTGGACTCCCACGTAGTCGACCGTGGTTCGTGTCCCGGACCCGGTGGCTTAAAACTCACGCCGGGCGCGTGTGCGTGCGTGCCCAAGATCCCGAGAGGAGAATGGAGGAGAAGGGATTCCGGCGTGACCATCCCCCTTGGGGGGTGATTTCTCGCTTTCTGTCTCTATGTCTCTCTCTGTCTGTCTGGCGAGCGCACGCGCCTTACAGTGAAAATCTCTCCAAAAAATAAATAAATACATACATACATACAGTATTTGGTACCTATCATTTTCTAGTTTATATCATCTTTATGTATGTACATGTGTTTGTGTATGTGTGCATGTCTTATTTCGCCTACTAAACTATACTTTTCGAAGTCAGTGTATTAAAAAAGGTTGATTTTTTTTTTTCCTTTACCTTCTTCTTTTTTTTTTTTTAAATTTTGCCATAGGGCACATGTCATTGCTAGAGACAGAGAAAGTGAGAAATCCCCCCCAGTGGGATGGCCGCACTGCAATCTTTTCTTCCATTCTCTTGGAAGAATGGATTCTGGTATGTATGGACATGTGTGCCTGGTGTGTTTTTCAAGCCACTAGGTCCAGGACTTGAACTGCTCAGTTACGTGGGAACCAACCGCCTTAACCACCGTGCCACCTACTGGCCCAAGGTGGGGATTTATTAAATACAGATTAAATTTTTATTATAAGAAATATTTCTACATTAAGCAATACCTGAAAACAAAATGAACTTATGCAGCACCTTGTACTACCAAATTAAAATCATTTAGAATAAATCCACCTTATTCAGTGAAGCAGTGAGATTACTCCAAACACATGTACTTTATTACAGATTGCTCTAATAGATGTTATCCATGACAACCATTTATAAAAACATTAAATTTAAAAAGTATATATAGGAGCCAGCAGATGGCACAATGGTTATGACTCTGGACTCCCACATGACTGACCACGGTTCAAGTCCCAGACCTCTTCAAAACTGAGTACCCAAGGTCCCAGGAGAAGAGACTGCAGCATGACCAACTCCCCTGGAGGGTGATTTCTCACTTTCCCTCTCACTATCTGTCTGTCTCTCTCTCTCTGCCCAGTGAGCCCACATGTCCTAAGGCAAAAACCTCTTAAATAAACAAACAAGTAAGTAAAAGTTTTGGGCCTAACAGCCAGTGAATTCTGATAGCTAAGAAGTAAGAGAAAGATAGCACATACCCTAAAGAGAAGAACAATACAATCTGGAGCCACTCAACATAAAAGAAAACAGCCCTATCTATTCTCGAAGGCTTTATTCTAAAGACTGATCACCATATCTGGTATAGAATGATGACCTGAGTAATAATGAAAATATTAACCTATGCTTACTAACAGTAGGCTTAAGAGTTGTTAGGAAGATTTACATACAATTAAAAATGTTTTACACATTAATGTTGGTACCTGTGGGAGGAATTTAGTTACTTAGAAATATATATTAAAAAAAAAAAAAAAGGGCCGACCACATAGTCAGCAGTTAAATGCTACACAAAGGGAACCAGATTCCACCTGGCTACTATGGTCTGAATCTCAGCCCTAGAGGCTTCAAAAACATGCCCGGTACATTTGTATATTTATTCCACAATCTGATAGGATCACACTCCATTGGGGATCTCTCTCTCTCTGGCAAGCACACATACTTCTTGGCAATAAAAAAAGAAAGAAAATATATCCAGAATACTTTGTTCCCCAATGATGTCCAAAAGAGCATGATTATATTAGAAAACTATTGAAAAAAAACTGGAAGCACTACTTCTTACTGTAATTGAAATGCCAAGGCCTTCATGATCTTCCTTAAGGAGGAGAACTTTCCTAATTGGACCAACACCTTGGCTTTTCTTTAAGGAATCTTGATCCTTATTGGAGGAAAAAAAGAAGAAAAATTAGTATCACATATATAATATACCAAATAGAGTAATCCCATGCTATATAATTTGCTTTCAGAAATTCTCATTAATTTCCTGGTATAGATACACAGTATTATATTAAGAAAGAAATAAAATGGAAAAGTAAAAACAGTTATTCAGTTATCATGGCAAAATTTATAGACAATTTTCTCACACTTTTGTAAATAATTTTTTAAAATACTGACACGTCTCAACTGGATTGGTCCGAGAAGTATTTCATGATGGGTAAAGTCTTTTTATAAGCAAAATGAGAAATAATGATTGGTTAAAAAATAATTGGAATAATAATAATAATTGTCTGGAAAAACAATGAAAAGATACTGAATGATGAAGTGGGGAGATTAATGTCTCTGTATTGACTGACATGCATGGCGTTCCCTTTTGAAAAAGCAATGTAATACACTGTAAAGTTATATGTGATTCAATGTAATATAAACAAGATTATGATGACAATAAATTTTTTAAAAATACTGACACATCTTTTAAAATTTTGGGACATTACAAAATAAATTACTGCCTGGGACTGAATGATGACCAAACATCTTTCAGAGGAGATAGTAATAAACTATCTCCTCTGAAAAATACTTTAAAGATCTACATGCATTTTAACTGATTTATAGAATTGAAAAGCAAATTTCTGACTGGATCATTCATTAGTTTTCATTCTTTGGTGCTCTGGACTTCTTAGATATAGCATCTTATTTCATTAACAATTCTTTCTCGGGTACCTGTACCCTTCCTCTTTCTACCAAACACCTTTCAGCCTAAGCAGATAAACAAATCCCATGTTTTTTCATATTTAAAATACTGACAATGTACAAACACAAAATAAAACAAAATCCTCCACTATTTTCCTCACCAACTGACCTCCTCGCCCTTTCCTTAACCTTCACAGAAATTTCATCCTTTAACCATTTCTGTTTCCTTGCCTCCCAGATTCAGTACTCTGATCATTATAATTGGGTTTTGCCCCTATCCGCACCACTGGAATTTTCTTCTCTATGGTCACTGCTAACTGCTAAATCCAATTAATAATGTTTAGTCCATTTCCTTCCCTCACTCTGTTAAGTTTCCATATAGTTTCTCTGGTTGACTTAATCAATTTCATAGTTTCAATTATAATGGGTGACTCCCCTAATCTTCAATTCAGACTGCTCTCTTGAATTCCAGAGTCATATATCTACCTAAATGTATCTCAGATACCCCACTGACACCGCCAATGATACATGCCTAAAACGAATCTCATCCTATTGTCCCCCAAAGCTTTCTTTTCCTCTTTCTTTATCAATGAATTTTCAAATCAAGAAACACAGACTCTGCTCTCTCATTCATCTACTTAACCCAAAACAGTCACTCTCCAATCAACTCCTCCTGATTGTAATTCTCTTAAGCCTGTATCCCTCAAATGCTTTTTTCCCATACCCTTATCACTTTGTTCTTGGATTACCATATCTTCTTAATGTATCTCCCTGACTCCAATTTTATCTTCTTTTAATATATTCTCTTCACTATACCAAAGGAACTGTCAAAAAAATGTGAATTTTATTAATGTAAATTTTTACTTTTACTTAAAGTCCCATAATTAGCAGTTTAAAGTTCAAGATCCTTTATGTAGCATAAAATAGCTTTGTTATCTGACTGGTTTCCAAAACTCCAGCCTCATTATTTTACCACTTTCATAAGCATACTTTCATAACTCAGACAGGTCTAACACAAGCTACTCTGACTTCCTCTAACCTCTCTTCTGATGAACAAATATCTTTAAGAAATAAAAAGTGAGTTAACTATCTATGTTCTCTGAAAAATACCTTAAAGATCTACATGCATTTTAACTGATTTCTTTAACAAATTGTATAGCATGGGTTCCCAAATCTACTGGACCCAGAAGTCAGTGGGGACCACCAGTGGTGTATGTGCTCACTGTAACCCCACTCTTTTCCACCAACTCTCTGTGCTTATCAATTCTTAAAATAACCTCTGCAGAGGCAATGGATTATTTCACTATTTAAAGCCAGACTTTATTTGGTACTAAGAAATGTGAGCCACTGGCTATAAGTTAGACAAAGTTTCATATGTTAAGGTCTGTATTATCAAACAGCTGTCGTAATGAAATTTAATAAAGATTTACCTAGATACAATGGTAGCCACAGAAGCAGACGATGAGATACCGATCTCAAATTCTATCTTAATCCAAGACCAAACAGGTGTAACTATTAGTTCAGAAGCTACATTTGGTTTAAGATACCAAACATTTTTCTAAAAAACTATGTCATAATATTTGCAATTTATCAGTAGGATTACACACTTTCAGCTAAGCTGAAGACAAATTTAGGGGCAGGGCCAGCAGGTGGCATGGTAGTTAAGGCACTGGACACTCTCACATGGCCGACCACGGTTCGAGTCCTAGACCTGGTGGCTTGCTTTCTCCCTTTTCCCTCTCTCTCTATCTGTGTCTCTCTCTGGTCAAATTAAAATAAATGAGTGGATAAATAAATAAACAATTAAAAATATATCTAGGGGCAATCATGAACTCAGATCCTTAGGCTGGCCTGAAAATGCACAGCATGGCCACATGTATGCATATGTACCCAGGACTCGGCAGACCTGGAGAGCGGGAGAAAGAATGACAAGATCCTTTCAAGGATGCATTTTCTTTCTTTCTCTTCCACATGCACATATGTACTCTCTAATATAAAAACAAAAAAACAAAAAATTCAAAATAAATTTAAGCATGTCCAATCAAGATTCAAGAAAAATTTTAAATATATCCAAAGTATTAGCAATATGTTTGCTAGCAATGGTTCACTGCAGAAATACTGGTAAGGACACTGATAAGCCTGTAAGTGCCAGCAAAATTTCTACAGGTTGTTGAAAATTTAAATATATATATCTATACTGAATAAGCTGAATCCTATGTTTCACTTTTTAAGCAAAGATTTCAAATACTATTAGAATAAAAGAAGGAATGGGAAGAACATAATTAATGAGAGAAGGAAGGAACTGCAAGGGAAGCAGCAGCAAAGCAAATAGGACATACGTGGCCTGGTGGAGCTTGCATTGGTCGTTTCAAGTCATTACGTCCTCGACAGGCTCTGATCACAGTTTTGTGACGATGCAAATGTATTTCAGCTTCTAATTGGTTCCAAAGCTTATCATGAGCAGGCCCCTTCATATCTCTTCCTAATAATTGTATCTGTTGGACTCTTTGTATTGAGAAAAAGCATTCATTTAGTTAATGTTTCAATGTGCTTATGATAGAATTCATTAGAATAACTTAAGCATAAGTAGCTTTTGCATAAATCTTAATTAGTAATAAAACATACTCAGAAACTACCTGAACCTCATGTATAAAGACAGAAAACTGTGAAAAGGACAGGTATCTTTCCAGGGAAAACCAGTAAAAATAACAATTCTTTTTTAATAAAGAATGAGTGAGAACTCCTTTAATAATTCAAATACATTTAAAAAATAATTTACGAATTTAATGTCAATTGACATGGGTTTTATATCTTGCATGCGATCAAGGTAACTAACCAAAACTCAGATACAATCAAATATTATTTTCAGTAAGATTAACTATACAAAAACATTTCCTCTAATGCTAGTTTCTTTTTATAAAACCACTATTTCAAATGTAAAAAGCTATTAGGAAATTTTCATTTCAAGATGACATAAATTCTCTGTTTACGATTAGTTCTTAATGTGACATTAAAACAATGAGCATGAAATGATTTAATACTAACAGTTCTTCCCAAAGTTTGTGAATAATTTACTTAACAAAATTAATGCAAATGGAATACTGTATATTATTATGATAAAACCAGCCATTAACTGAATTCCAAAATGTTTTTTGAGAGATAAGAAAGATTAGGTTTCAGCAACCATAGAAAGAATTCCTTATGGAAGTTTTGCTGTATGTGTGAACATAATCTATTATGGTTTCAAGGCAAGAAATAGCTAAAATGTGCCACTCTACAGAGCTGTTGGCATTTCACAGCAAGTCACCATCAGTGTTCGCATGTACATGTGGGTCTGTGTGGATGTGTATATGTAAACTTTATTGACTTAGCATGGATAAATAAAGCTGTAAGATACAGTGCCGTCAATATTAATTTAACAACGAGTTCTAACCAATTGTAAAGTAATTCTAAGGGTAAAGATTACTATTTCATTTACAAGAGGTAAGAGTGAATCTCATTGACTACCTAGCTTGTCACCCAAGAGTACGAGACGCACTGCCATCTTCTACACACCTTCCTGCCAGCTCCTTATCCAAGTACTTAGCTGCCAGTCTTGCACCATAAACTTCAGCCTGGAGAACAGCTAGATGTCTACGAAGGGCCTCATTTTCTTTTCTCAGTAATTTCACTTCAGCTTCAAGTTGAGCTTCTTTCATTTTTTCTTTTTTGTTTGCCTCAAGTTCTCTTTCCTATTGTAATTTAAAAAAATAATTAAATGAAAATACTTTTAAGACTCTTTTGCAGTAATCCATGTTCTTTAAAATACACAAAAGCACACAGTCTATAATACTAACAACAAAAATATATAAAAATCACTATTTCTTTTCTCTAAAATGAGACATAAAGGTTTGGATCTGGTCAGCTTGACCCACAATGTCTTGAAATTACTTCTAGATAATAGAATGCCATAGGGCACCCTGACATTGAGGACAGTAAGAGTTTTCTCTAAGCTTATGTTATCATCATGGACAGGAATGAATAACTGAATGTATAATTTTCATTCTAAAAAGCACTTAAGAAACGCAACTAAAATAAAAAATAATTATTCTGGTGGTTGTTCTCAAACACATTCCTAAGAGACCAGGCATCAGTTCTAAAAGAAGCCACAGTTTAGATACCATCAACAAAAATCTTTTTAATGGCATTTGCTGAGGGTGTTGTTTCAAAAAATATTCCTAGAAGACCAAGATTATGTTAACAGTGATCTACTTTCAATATTTTAATGAGCTATAAACACCATATTAACAAAATCTAAGAAGCATATTAAGCTACCACTTTTGTTTAATATAATAATTCAAGCCCTCAACAAATCTGACAAATTCTCAGCTCTGAAATTAAGAGAGAATAGGATTAAGGAAACTGAAGTTAATCACTTCTATATTTAAAGAAAAAAAATTGTTCTTACTTAACCTGTTTGTTATTTGGTAACAACCAAGATATTCATTTTATAATTAAATATCCGAAGAGTATACCTTCAGAAGCAGTAAAGGCATAAGACAAATAGGATCCTGATAAAGTTTGAGTATAAGAAAAAATATTTAAAATCTGTGGATTGTTATTTTCTAAAATAATTTCTGATAGCACATTTCAATATTCAGCTGTTTCAAAAGCCACACAATTACTCTCAAGACTGCTGAAAAATAGTAGCACATGCAGTAGATGAAGAAGAAACTAACATGCACATTCTTTCTCTGGAAATAAATCAAATAAAAACTCTAGGGGGTTAAAAACTAGGCCTACTTAACACATCATCGATGCCCTCAATCAGAAATCAACTGCTCTTTTGAAACAGAAGTTTGAGCAAATCACAACATTCAGGAGTTGTCACAAACTGACGGACTCTGAAAGTAATAGCTATAAATCACAAACAAAAAAAATCTTTATCATGCAGTGAGAAAAAAAGAAGCTACTCACTGAACTTTTCAGGTATGTTCAGATATGAACATTAAAGAAAAAAAAATGCCATAGGGAACTCTATTTATGGAATGAAGTATTGCCTGATTCTAGAATTATAAATAAAACAATTGGGATATTAAAAAAAATTCCCATTAATACTATCTTCAAATAATGACAACATGTAATATGTAAATAAAAGACTAAGAACACTTCAGCATGACACACTAGAGCAAAACAGAAACAACATACTTACCAGCTCTTCCACAGAGGGGACAGACTTAAGATACAAGAAAAAAGTTTTATTATTAGAAAAACATCAAAAAAATGAATTTATTTAGTGATAAAATGTTTACAAGAAAAATTCCCTAATGTTGACTAGAATTTGGATAACATTCATTAAAAATAACAATAGTAACTGTAAAGTTTTAGATAAACATTTTTGTTTTATCAAAATTTGCTAATATGACTGGTTGGTTTGGTATTCTTTCTATTGTAGTACCTGGTTTCAAATCTAATACAAAAATTCTAGATATATTCATCCTAGTGAAAATACAGAATGCTTTTTGATATTAATATCAAATATCTCAAATAAGCAGTTGTGGTCTGACTTCTATTTCAGTTAAATAAAAGGCTTACTGAGACTCAGAATTTAAGAGGACTTTAGAATATAAATATTTATTTAACAAAATTCTTTTTTTAAATCGCCAAAGGGCACATCCATTTGCTAGAGAGAGAGAAAGAATCTTGCAGTGGGGTCTGGTTACACAGCAATCCCTTCTTAATTTCCCCATCCCATCAGGATTTGAGTTATTCACACACATGCACCCAGTGTGCTCCTCAAGCCACTGGGGTTGGGATTTGAATCGTGCTCAGCCACTTTAATCACTAAGCCACAAGGGCTGGGCCCATTTAAGTAAATTCTAATGTATCACTATTAGAAAATAATTAACCAATCAAATAAAATTAACTGAATAAAAAAAAGTGCTACTAGTTGGGACCCAATTTCACTTCCTCCTAACTCCTTATTATAAAACTCCAACTTTATAGGAGGTGACCCCATGACTAACTGTAAGACGGACATGAAGCTAGGGATGCCAATGAGATACTAGCAGAAATTACTGAAAAGAATTTTATATAAGGTTTTTAAAGAAGGCCAACACAGTTGAGAAGCACTTTTTTTTACCCTTTTCTTAGATTCTTCCTTCTTGCTGCCTGAAATACAGACATGAAGAAATTCTGATGACAAAAATTATGAGGTAAAAGTGGCAGAGCACAATTATAGGAGAAACCTGAATCCTTAATATCTGTGGAGTTTACATATCAGCTCGAGACTGCTTCTTTTGAGAGAAAAATAACTTCTATTCAAGAACAATCTCAATGTTGCCTGAGATCTTATATGTAGCTGAACGTAATATTAAATAACACAATACGGTAAAATACTATTGACATGTTACAATCACAATTATCATTTAAATATGTTTAGACATATTGTTTTTAATTAATTTTAATTAATTATTTTTTAAATTTGTTGACATTTTCAAGCCTCTGGGTCCAGGACTTGAACCACAGTTAGCCATGTGGAAATCCAACACCTTAACCAACATGCCACCTGCTGGCCCCTATCTGCATGTTTTTAAATAGAAAAACTTTTATCCTGCCAGTTGATTATTATCACTCGCTACCTCTAGATGATGAGATTGTAGATGACCATGATGATCATAAACTTTATTTACTTTTATTTGTCAGAAGGCATGTGTGCTTGCTGGGGAAACAAAGAGAGAGAAGTAAAGTGAGAAAGCACCCTTAGTGGGGAATGGTCATGCCACAATCTTCTCTCTTCCATCTCTACCTCTTTTCAAATTTTGGGCACACGAGAACACATGCCTGGCATGTTTCTCAAGATGCCAGGTTCAGGCTCTAACTGCCATACAGAATCTAGCCATCTTAACCCCCAGGGCATGGACTGGCTCAATCATAAACTTTTAATTTCTTCTGTTTTCTGTATTTCCCATAATGAGCACATAATGCTTTATTATTTTTACTATTATTATTTTTAATTTGTAATAGATGTGTGCACTATCCAGAGAGAGAGAAAAAGACAGGGAAAGTGAGAAAGTACCCCTAGGGGAGATGACCATGTCATAATCCCTTCTCCTCCCAGGATTCTGAGCACACATGCATACATTCTCAGTGTGACCTCAATTTTGGGCACACACACATACCCAGCGCGTTTTTCAAGCCAACAGGTCTAAGACTGGAGTCACTGAGCTGGCCATGTGGGATCCAGTCACATTAAACACACCACCAACTGGCCCAAACACATATCACATATTATAGTTAAAAGACCCTATTATAAATTGTCCTCTACAATCTTTAAAATACCTGTAAGGTATTTAGAGGGTAAGCATATGTTGCTCTCTAAACTACTTACCAATTTTGCCTTAATGGTGCCGGAGTCAACACTTTGACCAGTTTTAGCATGAAGCTGAAGCTGAATAGAGTGCAACTGTAAAAGTTGATCATGTACTTCTTTCTCCAATACAACTTTCTCTGCTTGAGTCTCTGTCAGTTCAGATTTCAGATCCACCAACTGTGCCTTAAAAAACAATAATAAAAAACAAGAAGTATGCTTAATTTTCTTTATTTTCACTCTAATCATTATTCTTTAAGAATGACAAGAGACTGCCTTTAAAATGTACACATGAGCAGGAAGACAATTATCAGACTGTGATATAGACAGTCACCTACACTGACATAAAACCAACAGTCCAAGTGAGATATCTAAGTGGCAAGAGAACTTACTACAAACAGCATCTTTTAATAACAGAATGCTATTGGGTCATTGGGAAAGTCATGACGCCATTTTTGCACAGAAAAACATAGAAAAATGTGTCATGACTTTCCTGACAATCCAATACTTGCATTTTCTTGCTTACTTTGAGAAGCCTTTATACTGCTTTACCTTTACCTTTGAAGCTTAATATACAAGTATGGAATGGTTTAATAATTCTATAGAGATAATACGGTTTTGCTGGCTCACTAGCATTAATGCTATATTAGAGAAAGGCCAATAAGTAGGGTTTGTGTTCAACCCACAGAATATCAGCCCAAAACAGCCTCACCACTACCTAGTAAAGTTATTTTAAGAGCTACGGTATCAGGACCAGCAAATGGCATAATGGTTATGTTACTAGACTCCCATGTAATCGATCACAGTTCAAGTTCTGGACCTGGCAGCTTAAACCTTATGCTAGATGTGTGTGCATGTGTGCCCAAAATCCCAAGAGGATGGACTGCAACATGGCCATCCTCCCTGGAGGGTGATTTCTTGCTTTCTATCTGTCTCTCTGGCAAGCACAAGCGCCCTATCACAAAAACTCTCTCTAAAAAAAGAGGTAAGGTGTCAGCTTGCTGAGACTTATTCAATAAGCCCATTTACAGTGTAGCAGAACAAGTCAAGACCACCTACTCGCTCAATCTGAAGTTACTCATTTTGCACAATCACAATTAGAAAAGTTGTAGATAATACTTTATAAATTATGGCTATTTATGCCCTCTAGATGCTTTCATATCAACTATGTGGTAAATATGTGGGGGAACCTATAACTCACATACCTATAACTTGGCACATTCTTGTTTGTGTGAGCTATACAAACAAGAATGTGGTAAGTTATAGTATATGAGGGATCTCAAAAAAAGGTCATGGAAAATAAGTACTGTAAAAAGCAGCAAATATTTCAATATTTTTAAAAAATTGGAAATGAAAATAAAGATTTCTACAATGCTAAAAAGTTTTTGATACCAAAATAAACCTATACTTTAATTTTAATTCTCTACAAACCTTTGAAGCCCCCTTGTATACAGAACTGGCCCTGTTCCAAGGAATTCAAAGTAAGGGAAAGCTTAAAAAAGGTTAATAAGAAAAAGATTCATATTGAAAAATGAGTTAAGAAGACTTTGAAGGAAAACTACAACAAACAAAATTGAAGCAGTAACAAAATCTGGAGATGGAAAAAGATTAACAAGAGCAAAAAGGCAGTGATTAAATCAGAAGCATCTTGGATAAATTCTATGAGTACACTGACTAGAGACCTGGACTACATCTTTACATATCCCAACTGCAACAACTAGTGTTTAGTACATAAAAGATGCTCAACAAACATTGTTACCCTGAAATGAACCCCAATCATAGCCCTGTGCCTCTGAATAAAATGTTGTCTCCATTCATTTCCTCAATTTTCAAACAGAGATAATGTCCCTTTTTTTTTTTAAAGAGAGATATTTGGGAAACCAGCAGTTAGCGTAATGGCTATGTCGCTGGACTCCCACATAGTCGACAGCGGTTCACGTCCCGGACCCGGTGGCTTAAAACTCACGCCGGACGCATGTGCGTATGTGTCCAAGATCCTGAGAGGAGAATGGAGGAGAAGGGATTGCGGCGTGACCACCCCCTCTGGGGGGTGATTTCTCGCTTTCTGTCTCCATGTCTCTCTCTGTCTGTCTGGCGAGCGCACATGCCCTATAGCGAAAACCTCTCACAAAAAAAAAAGAGAGATATTTGCTATAGAGTGTGTGAGTTCACCAAAGAGACATAGAGAGACAGAAAGTGAGAAATCACCCCACCCCAGGGAGGATGGCCACACCACAATCCCTGCTCCTCCATTTTCAATATCTTGGGCACACATGCACACGTATCTAGTGTGAGTTTTAAGTTGCCAGGTCTGGGACTTGAACCGTGTTTGACTACGCTGGAGTCCAGTGATGTAACCATTATACCAGCTGCTGGTCCCAAATATCCGTTTTTGACTATTCTCATAAAATTATTACTTTTTTTATGATAGTAGTACATACAGAATAGAGTTGGGGTGGAAGGAGTAGCTCCTTCAGCAGGGTTTCATCACACAGTAATCCCCTCCCCTAGACTTCCAATTTCTCAAGATCTAGGCACCCACTTGTGTGCCCCACATGTCTTCAGGCTGACCCTGGGATCTGAACTTGGAACTGACCACAAGGCTTCCAGTCTTGTGGGTCACTTGTGTTAGAGTTGTACCATGGCAGCTGACATTAGTCTCATAAGATTATCAATCTTATATACTAAAGCATTTACTAAAATATCAATGTGGATTTTTTTTTTTTTGGAGAGTTTTTTTGCTTAAATGTGGATATTTTTTTTTTTTGGAGAGTTTTTTTGCTTTAGGGCGCGTGCTCTCGCCAGACAGACAGAGAGAGACAGAGAGACAGAAAGCAAGAAATCACCCCCCAGGGGGGATGGTCATGCCGCAATCCCTTCTCCTCCATTCTCCTCTCAGGATCTTGGGCACGCATGCACACACGCCTGGCGTGAGTTTTAAGCCACCGGGTCTGGGACGTGAACCGCGGTCGACTACCTGGTAGTCCAGCAACATAGCCATAACGCTAACTGCTGGTCCCAAGAATATAAATGTGTTTTTAAAAAGATCAGACGACCTAGAAGGGCTCTGAGGAAATCAGACTGCTGGGAGGAATTATATACTGACAGACTGGTAAGACTAGGAAAGGTAAGTCTGGAAACTATGAATGGCTGTGGGTGGTAAATTAAAACTGTCACTTAATCTGACAGGAAATCATTACATACTCTCGGTGACATTTGTGTTTTTATTTTTAATGACCCATATTGTAATATAATTTCAACGCCACAAAAGTCACTCTTTTAAAGTGTACAATTAACATATTTTTGGTATATTCAGAGTTGTAAAAGCACTGTGACTATGTAATTTTGAAATATTTTCTTCCAATGACATTTTAGCAACTTATTTGCAGTGAAGGAGAAGATATAGCAACACCTTGCAGCAGCTTTCTAAATGACAGTTATGGTACAATGTCTTTGCAATGGAAATAAAGAACTTCACAATGTTGAAAATAAATGGTAACTTCGTAAATGAAAATAAAGGACTTTACAACGTTGGAAATAAATGGATAGCAACAGTTAGGTACGGTATTGTTCTGTACAGTGAACAGCCTATGTAAAATTAGGGCTTAATAATTCAAATATTTCAAGTAAAGAGAATAATGAAGCCATTGATTGAAATAGTAAGATTTGGCTGGTAGTTTACTTACATATGAGGTAAAAAGAAAGAAGATGGGTCTAAATTTAGACACACTGACATTTGTGTCAACCATGATATAATCAACAGGAACCAGTCCACAGAATGTTAGAAATAAAGAAAAAAGTTTAAAATAGAGACTTGGATTGATGGGACTAGGAGCCCCAGATGTGAATTAATATGCTAAGACTGAGTTATGGGAGATTATAATGTCCAGGACTGTCAGGGAAGGCCTGAGAAGTAAGAGAGTTGAGACGTTACAAACCAAGCCAAAATGGTCCATAATATAAATACTACTTGGCATCTTGCTTTTTAAAATTCCTGCAGACCACTAAGTATCAGAACCTTCACATTCCTTTTTTATAACTCTTTTATTCATGTATAAATGTACTTCATAGAAGTACGTAAGTTATTATGAAAAACAACTATACTCAATACCACCTGTATTTTTTTTTTTAATTAAAATAAGACATCCTGGACCCACCTTGTGATCCCCTTGTAATCACTATCTCCACTTCATCCACAAAGGTAACCATCAGAGTAATACTTTCTAACACCATAGATAGTATTACTTGTTTTAATTTTATTCATTATTTCTTCCATAAGAGAGACACACCACACTACCATCCCCCACTCTGAAATAGCCTGAGAGGTCTCTGGATCCAAACCCAAGACCTTTCCACATGGGTCAGGAGGCAGCCATCATCTGGTCCCTATGAAGCCACCTTTTAATACATATTAAATGCATTTCTCCACACCATATATCTAGGAGGGAAATCTCCAGGTATACAGTATACTTAAATCTCAGTAGAGGAAAAAAAACAAAAAAACAGTTTTTAAGTGGTTGTAGCAACTGACATATGAACTGTGTATGAAAACTATGATAACTTCCCATCTGTCTTCATCTGGCATTGCTACTGTTTTTCATTTTAGCCATTCTACTTGGTTGTTGGAAAAGTCATGTTGTATTGCTCTACGCAAAAATGTGTCATGACTATTCCCAACAACCCAACAGTAGAAATAGAGTCATTTTATTGTGGTTTTAATTAAACCTTTTTGATTGCAAATAAGATTCATCACCTTTTCACATTTTTGGGGGTATTTTCCCTCTTAGGTTTCCACCACAGAGGGCATGCACTCCCCAGAGAGGAGAGAGAAAGTGAGACAATGAGAGAAGAAGCAAGAAATTCCCCCAAAGGGGGATGGCCATTATGTAATCCCCTCTCCTCCATTCTCTTCCCAGGATTTTGTGCACATAAGCACCCATTCCCAGCATGACCCTCAGGCTGCCAGGTCTAGGACTCAAATCATGGTAGGTCACATCATGGGAGTCCAGCGCCCCAATCACTATGCCACCTACTAGCCCCTTTAGTTAGTTAGTTAGTTAGTTTTTAAGGGTTCAGCATAGGGTGTATGCACTCCCCAGAAAGACAGAGCAAGGCAGTGAGAGGGAAAGTGAGAAATCACCCCCGGGGAAGGGGGGGATGGCCAAGCCACAATCCCTTCTTCTCTC